GGGCTACGCTCACCCCAACCAGTCCAACTATAATGTGATACCGTGCGTCCAACCAATACAAAATTTGAACCAAACCGCTGTGGCATCACAATCAATTTTCCAGAAGGGGGGGGGGGGGTATCATTGGCCCAAGCATAACAAAAGTTGGCGCGGTAACGTGGGCGCAACCCGGGCAAATTTTACGCCGAACTCTCATGCCATCAGAATGAATTGTCAAGGAGGGGCGGCCCTGGCCGCAGCATGGCAAAAAGTGCCTCGGTAACGTGTTCCCAACCTCTGCAGCTCTTGTGCCAAAGCCTCTGGCCATGAGGCTGAATCGGCAGGGAGGGGGATGGCCTTGGCCAAAGCATCACAAAAGTGGCGCAGTAAGGTGGGGCCAACCTCTGAAAATTTTGCGTGGAAGACTCGGCTCATCAGGTCGAATTGCCAGGGATGAGGGGTGGCCCTGACCAAAGCATGGAAAGCGTCGAGTGGTACCCTTGTCCCAACAATTACTGGTTTTGTCAGTACCCTTGCCCTCCGAAGTCATACCGTTGGGAAGGACACTCTGAGGTCCTAACATCAAAGTATTGAGAGGTACTTTTCTATCCTCCAGGGGGACCCGAGGATATCGCACAATGCTAGTACTTGGTGGGCCAAGGGTATGTCGGAAACGTAACGGGAACTTTCCAAATCTTCCTCCATTTGTGAGACTTTAGGCCGAAAGGGACTCTGACTACTAGGACTTGAGGCTCCAAAGTTAACCCCAACAGTAGGACTTGAAGATCCAAAGGTACCCCGAATAATAAAACTTGTGGATGGTAGACACTCTTCTGAGCATTCGAGCGTTCTCAGGAACTGGTAACTGGACGCTATCGTTCCCGGGAACGCGGGATCGGAATAGTTATCAGTACCAGGGAATGTGGAAACGGAAAAGTTTCTAGTTCCCTGGGACGGTAACGGAAAAGTCCGGGGTTCCCTGGAACGGTAACGGTGACTTCTCACCCCTACATAAGGCCTACCAAATGGCTTGATGCTCGTTGAAGTTTGTTAATGTCGTAAAAATACTTTGTAGTATTTAATCTAAAATTTCACAAAACAAAGACACATGTTTTAAATATAATATCAATATTATTTTAGTTCTTGTGATTTTGTCAGAAAGAAATTTCACTGAGTCGTAGGAAAGATCGATATTGACACTGATGTTGTGCAATTATGGATATCCATCAGCATTTTTCATTCAATGATGAATGATTGAAGTTAAGTTAAACTAAGCGAACATATAGTTTACTCATCTACAGTTGTTCTTATGCCAATTAGCAAGAAAAAATCAGAAAATGAGATAAATTACTCTTAGCGAAACCGAAACAGTGTTATTCACGATTGTAGAATGTTTTTCGTTTTATTAATAATGAAATTTTTCAAGGCACTGTTGTAGGAAATAGTAGTCAACAGAGATCAGCAAAAGTACCGTAATAAATGAATCAAGAGGATGAAATAAAATCTGAACATCATTAAAAAAGTTTTTGTATCATTAAAAGCGCTTTATATCTTAAAATGTGATAAGGTTTCCTGGATGGAAGAAATGTAAATAATTTATACGAGTTACTTTGCTGAATAAAATAAACTGTAATAACCAGCATAAAAGGAATGAAAATATGAGGGTGTGGGTGTGGGGTGTGGGTGTGGGTGTGGGTGTGGGTGTGGGTGGGGTGTGGGTGTGGGTGTGGGTGTGGGTGTGCCTGTGGCTGTGTGGCTGTGGTTTATTTCTTCTTTTTGTAATCATAAACATACCCACACCCACACCCACACCCACACCCACACCCACACCCACATCCACTCCCACCCACGCCCACGCCCACCCACAACCACATCCAAACCCACCCACATCAACACCCCACACCCACACCCACACTCACACCTCGCACCCACACTCCACACTCCACACCCCACACCCACACCTACACCCACATCTACACCTTGCACCCACATCCCACATCCACACCCACACCTACACCCACACCCACACCCACACCCACACCCACACACCACACCCACCCTCAACCGGTGTTTTGGCTCAAATACCCCTCAAAAACTTCAAGACACCAAGGGTTTTTCAAATTTCTTTTTATATTCGGATTCAGCATGCTGAAGTCTATATTCCCTAAAATTTTTGGTTTGTTCAGAGACATGTTTGTATAAAGTGGTACACTTTCCATGGAACAACCCTTCTTTAAAAAATTTTTTTTATGTTGTGAAACAACAGTCACATTATACAAACAGAAACAACGAAAAACGAAAAGAATGCACTAAAAATGATTCATTCACTTTGGAAGGGCGCTGTACTGTACACCAAACTCTATTTCATTTTTAATGGAATTTTCTTTTTCCTGCAACAGAATAGAGATTATATAAACAGAATAACGAGAAGAATGAAGTAAGGGTGAATTCTTTTTTCTGTGTAAGTGTACTGTACATCAAACTCTATTATTTTTTTGATTGAATTTTCTGTGTATTATGACAGAGCTCAGGATAATAGAAACAGAATATTGAAGAACGAAAAAAATGCATGAAGAGTGATTTTTTTTGTCCTGTGGAAGGGTACTCTACATCAAACTTCCTCTCTTTTTTTAAATGGAGTTTTCTTTAGTGCTGTGCAAGAACAGACACGTTATATAAACAGAAAAAAATTCACTCTTTTGAAAATCATACCTTTTAAAAAGAATATTCAAGAGTAAATAGGCCAATGGCATCTGCTTCTGCAACCTCTGCAGTCCGTGCACCAGTTTTTCTTCGTCCACGGAATTTTCAGTGGTATTGGAACTCATCGGTCGATCCCTGGGCTGCCACCTATGCTGAACAAGCCGACGATTGGCAAAAGTACACAGACGTTGAAAATGAAATCATCGAAGATGCATTGAACGAAAAAAGAATACAGACCGAACTCGATGGCAACTACATTGTTAACTTTACGCATCAGGTACAATATCAGAAGGGTGATACCAACAGACAGCGTCCAATTAAACGGGTGCAGCTCAACACTGATCGCAGTAACGTCTATCTGAGAGAGGATAGATTTGCGTTACCGATAACATTGGCTACTAGAGATACCGAGACGACTATGATAAGTGCTTCTACAGACAACGAACAGGATGCACTTGACGAACTAAAGTACTATGGTCGGATTTCCAAAGCTTATGAGACCCTTGAACTTAAAAACATTGACAAAAGTTATGGCTATATCGTCGAACATGCTGCTAACGGGATTATGATAGAAGGTGCAAAACTTGGTAAAGAAAAAGAAGCAGAATGGCTAGCTAAGCAATTACTCGATGTAAAACATTTTGGTGAAAACAATGAAACAACTTATTATGTAGACATTCCACAGCCAATCGGTGAAACTTGTATTTACCTCTATACAAAAGAATCCTTTTGGTATAAAATTCTTAACTCTACTCTTCGTAATCATGCAACAATGAGTAGAGAACAAGTAAAGACCATGGGGCCATTCTGTTGGTTACTTAATCAGTATCTATTTCAGAAGAAGACTGGAGATCTATTAACCGTTTATCGTGGCCTTACACTGACAGATGAAGAACGACAAAAGTTTATGAAACAAGGAGATATAAGATTCACTTCATTTACTTCAACAAGTCGAAATCGGAAAAAGGCGGAAAAGTTTGGCAATACATTATTAATATTTGATTTGAACGTGTACGACCCCGTTTTTGAATGGAAGGTCCCTATTGGTATGAATGTATTATCTCTCTCCGATTTCCCTAATGAAGAAGAATTTACCATGTATACGGGTGTCCTTTTTAATTTTGTTCGTTATGAATATGATAATGAAACAAAGAAACATATTATTTATCTCAAAGCATCAGAATTGAATGACTGAGTTCTACTATCGGTGTCCAGTTATTTGGCACTGATACCTCTTCACTTATACTTAACTTCGTCCAATGTGAATTTTTTTTGTAGTTGCACGCTTCTTACAAAAGTTTTGCAGAACATTCAGGCAGTAACTGACCTACATAAATACGCTACTTCTTCTGCACAGCAGTGGACAATTGGACCAGTCGGTGATGAAATTGTTCCTGTTTATAGAGAAATGCTTCACCCCACATAAAGTCATGCATATCAAGGAGAAATGGACAGAACGAATATAAACATATATGTATCTTTTACTGTTCCTCTGCATGCATTTTGATTCAAACAGAAATCGTTTATTTTAAGGAGAAATGCTTTTTCAAGAGAAATGGAAAGACAAAATTATTTGAACGAAAATTTCATTCCTTGAGGGTGTGGGTGTGGGTGTGGCGGTGAAGGTGTGGGTGTGGGTGTGGATGTTATTCTTCCCTCTATTCATACTTACACTCATACCCACACCCACACCCACACCCACCACACCCAGACCCACAGGTAAGGGCAATCAACAACAGCATGATTTTTGCACAGATATTGTACTGAATGTTTGCGAAGCTGTACTGCGTTTTGCTAATCATAAAGTATATTTTAATAATTATTTTACAACAATTCGTCTACAAGTAGGGTTGAAGAAGTTGGGAATTTTTGCAGTTGGCACGGTAAGGCCAAGTCGATTAATTGATTTGAACATTATAAATGCAAAAGATTTATCAAAGGAAGGAGGGGGAGCGATGGATCATCGCGTCACAGTGGTTGTAAGAGTGGAATTATGTGTGACACGATGGTGTGATAACAAAGCTGTGAATTACCTTTCTACATTGTATGGTTGTAAATCGATTGACTCAGTACAACGATGGTCGTCGAAACAAAAGAACCATATACAAATAAGACGACCACAGGTCATAAAAGCTTATAATGAACATATGGGAGGAGTCAATTTAATCGACATATTGATTTCTTTGTGTCGAATAAATGTTCGTTCAAAAAAATATTATATAAAAAATGTCTTTCATCTTATGGATTTATTAGTTGTCAATGCATGGCTTTTGTACCGACGTCACTGATTGCAACTAAATATTCCAAAAAAGGACATAATGTCTTTATTGAATTTTCGTATAAATATTGCTACGGCTTTACTTAAATCTAATCCGCTAACACCTATCATAAAACATGGTCGTCGATCATTAGAATCAAGATTAAAATCAAACGAAAACAACTCAACAGCAACTTTACGAACTACACCACCTTTGGCTTCACCTTCTAGTACACGATTCGACAAATATGATCATTGGCCTATCACAACATCAAAAGGTCCTTGTCGAAATAATACCTGTGATGGATATACAAGAGTATCATGCTCTAAATGTGAAATTCGTTTATGTTCGAACGAAAAAAATAACTGTTTTGCGCATAATTGAACTTTTTTGTGGTCGTAATTACTTTATCAATAAATGAAAAAGCACTACATAGTGTACTACGATTTCTGGAAACGAAAAAAAATTCAAATTTTTGACCTAAAAAAAAATTAAAAAGCATATAGACAAAGATTTTTTGCCAGTTTCTTTCTGAGAGCCGGCCGGAAAGAGTTAACATATCCTCCTACAATGACACCCCACATCCTATATATAATATTAAGATTCCATCAGAAGAAGTTCCGGCAAGACAGAAACAATCGTTGTCGTAGACCGGCCATCTTTCTAAATCACACCTGCCTGTATTTAGAAATCTATCATATTTCTCAAAACAATTTCTCACTGTGGATAGATATTTGTTAGCTTTAATATGTATAGAACGAAACAGACAAGCAGTGTCACTGATGGGTGTGGGGCAGAACGATGAAAAAGATGATCTTCATGGGAATCGAACCCATACCTC